CTATTCAACATGTGGCTCTCGCCCTAGCGCCGCGCACATTCGTTGTAAACATTTGCAAGAGCTTCACGGGCTGAGGGCGGGTGGTTTTCAAAATGTGGCTCTCGCGTTAGCTCCCCGTACATTCGTTTTAAACATTTGTTTCACGGATTGAGGGCGGTTCCGTTTGCAATTGTGACTCTCGCCTTAGCGCCGCGCACATTCGTTGTATACAACATGTAAGAGCTTCATGTATTGAGGGCTGTTCCTTTTCAAAATGTGGCTCTCGCCTTAGCGCCGCGCATTCTCGTTGTCAAAAACTGCAAGAGTTTAACGGATTCCCATGGTCAGCGTACCAGGAATCGTGTTTTGGAAAGATTCAGGATGTGGGCGCAGCAATTCTGTTGATTCGCTGCGTTGAAGTCCCCAACATGGCGTCACGGCACGATTCTGGATCGTCAAGACGCAGCAGTCAGGTTGATACGTGGCGTTGAAATCCCGAGAACAATGTTTTGGCACGCTTCAGGATCTTCAATGTTTTGTCTTCCAACGAGGCAATTCCCTCACTGGAAATGAACCGTTGTGGGGGCCTATGAAGAGGGAGCTTGGAAGGAGGGCTAATTCCAACATCGTTGATGACTCTTGGGTTTCCACTGGTCCTCCTCCTCCTCCTCCTCCTCCTCCTCCTCCTCCTCCTCCTCCTCCTCCTCTCCCCTACCGATGGCAGCGGTGGTGGAACATCGGCCCGTCACACGCTGGGGGGGGGCCTGCCGCGGCTCGTCGCCGTAGGGTGGCTCTGTCCGCGGTGATCCGACTATGTGCGGGGGGGGGAAGGAGGAGGAGGAGGAGGAGGAGGAGGAGGAGGAGGAGGAGGAGCAGGTCGGGGAGGAGGAGGAGGAGGAGGAGGAGGAGGAGGAACGACGGAGGAGGAGGAGGAGGAGGAGGAGGAGGAGGGGGGCATCTTGGGAGCCCTGGGGGAGGAGGAAGAGGACGAGGAGAGGAGAGGAGGAGGAGAAGGAGGAGGAAGATGAGGAGGAGGGAGGAGGAGAGAAACAGGAGGAGGAGGAGGAGGACCTACTGATCCTCCCTTCTCCCCCGTCCTGCACATGGTAGTGGTTGTGGACAATTTGCCCATCCACAAGCACACCCGTGCAGAGCCCCCCCCCCACGGCACGAGCTTGGAGTTTCTCGGAATTCGCCGGCCCAACGGGCCAGGGCGTGCTAAGATCTCCGGTAACTGATTAACAGTATTAACAGTATTTCTAGTTCGCGCGCGCGGGGCGGCCCCTGGGGGTCCCCCGGCGAAAAGTACCCCGACCAACGCCCGGTCGCCGCCCGACCGCCGCCCGACCGCCGCCCGACCAAGTCTACTCAGAGATGGTTTTCCTTCTGGGTGCGGCCTCTCAGGCTCCCCAGAGCGCGCTCAGAGTGCCCCAAGAGGCCCCCAAGACTGCCCAAGAGGCCCCCGAGACGCCCAAAGAGCGCTCGAAGACGCCGAAGATGACCCCAAGACGGCCCAAAAGGCCCCCAAGACAGCCCAAGAGGCCTCCAAGACGCCCCAAGAGCCTTCCAAGAGGCCTCCGAAGAGAGCCCCAAGAGGCCAAAATCGTTGATTTTCATTGTTTTTTTCGATGTTTTTTGTGTTCTGGCTTTTTCGGCTTCCGGACGCTCCAAGACGGCCCAAGAGGCCCCCAAGACCGCTCCAAGACGGCCCACGAAGCTCCCAAGACGGCGCCGAAACGACCCAAGAGAGCCCTCAAGACGGCCCAAGTGCCGCCCAAGACGGACCAAGAGGCCCCAAGACGGGCCCAAGAGGGACTCAGGAGGGATACCGAGAACTCAAAAATGGAGCCCTCCGTCCCAGAAGGCGCCCAGGAGGTCCCAAAGAGGCCCCAAGAGGCCTCCAAGAGGCCCCAAGATGTCGCCAAGAGGCCCCAGGAGACTCCCAGGAGGCCCAAAAGAAGCCCCAGAAGGCTTCAAACATGTCTCCCAGGCGCCCCCGAACGGCCTCTCAACAGACCCCAAGAGGCCCCCCAAAGAAGCATCTTGACGACGACCCTATTTCGCCCCATCGAGAGACGACCCCCAGGGAACTGCTTCACCATCAAAACTCCCCACGCAACGCGTCCGAACGACACCCGCCCCCAAGAGCGCAACATGGGCAACGAACACACAGACAAAAACCAGCGATGCCATATCACGGGCCGGCGGAATGAGCGAAGCGATTCAATAAGGGTCGGCCCGTGTCAGAAGGATGCGCGATAAGGATGCAAGAGCCTCGGACGCCCATTCTGAAGCGTTTCGAGCGGGGCGCGGCCAACGAAAGTGGCGAAGGATGGACTGAGGAGGCAAGGATGCAAGGCTACCCTTGGAAAGTTGCCCATCACTACTGTGCGGGTTGACTGCACGTGGTGTGCCACAGAGGGCACTACGAGGCAACGCCTGCGCCGGCACCCACCGCTTCCACCACGGACGGGCCGCCGAAGGACGTGCCAGTGCGATGCGCCCTCCTCGGAGGCGCGCGCGCGCGGACCGAACATACAGTATAGCGGCATGGCCAGAGAGCGCCTGCCACGGAGCATACAGTGTCAGAGCTCTGAGCGCGCGCGTTGCCGACGCCCACATAGTATCGGGTCGGGCGAAAGGGGGGGATAGCAAAGGGGGGGGTTGAGAATCAGCTCACGTAGCCGATTTTTCCGGCGGCTCCGGGCGCCGCAGGCGGCCATGTATCGAGGAATGGGCCCCTCGGTGAGGCCGAATCCAGCTGCCCCAATCCCCCCCTTTCGTCCAGCCCGGTAGTAATAGTATGCTTGGGCGACGCCGTTCAGATCCATGTTCGGCCGCCCGGGGCCCGATAACGGGCCCCGGCGGCCAACATCGAGGAAGGGGTGCCTTGATTGGAACAAGCACGTAAGCGTCGGAGAAGCGAGGCCTGGTCGGGAGAGTGGCATACTTGGGTGACGTAATCAAGGGTCGAAGGGTTAAGTCGGGCCTGTCCCCCTACAGGCCGATTTTGGACGAAAAATGAAAAGTACCCCCCCAAAAAATACGCTAAAAATGCTCAAACATTGTTAAGAAATAGTCCCCAGACTATTTTTCTATTATTCTTGAATATCCCCCCTGTAGAGGGACAGGCCCGACTTAATCGAAGGGCCCTCATGCAAGGGGCCCTCTTCTTCACCCCCCCAGAAGTCACCCCCCCCAACACCACTCGCCCGGCGGAGGCCCAGCATCGAGGGACATGCGTGAAGGGGAACTGGGACACACAAACAAATACACACAAGTAAAAGGATTCCCCATGTTTCCCCATATTTTCTGGGTTCTTGCCTCCCCCCCACTCCCCTATATTTTCCCACATGTTTTGCTGGGAACCGACGATTGCTGGTGTCTGTGTGTTTCTTTCCCTCCTGAATGTGCTGGGGCTGGAACAAGAACAGTCGTCGGAGATGCGGGGTTCCGGTTGCGCAGGGGCTCATGACTACCTACCAGACCACCCCAACCCAACCCGAAGACCCCAATTTCGGGTCGGGGGGGGTACGGGTTCCGTACGCGTTTTTTCGATGTTCCCCGACCCCCCCCAACTGGAAATGGAGGGCAGATTGAGGCCTTCGGGTTGGGATGGGGTGGTTTGGTGGGTGGTGGGCTCGCGACGACGAGGTCGGCGCAGGAGCGCGGGCTCCTGCGCCCGCCTGGCTGGCCAGACCCGGACCGCACGCGTTCCCCCGCACGCCGGCCCGGTGGCAGGGCGGGGGAGGCGGGGGAGCCTGTTTTTTTTTTGATTCGGGCAAGATCACTTGCATGGCGTTCGCCCCCCCCCCCCCCCCCCCTCGCCCCTCTTCAAGCGAACACCAGCGTGCAAGTGCCTCTCGACTTGCGTGCTTCCCGCGCCCCCCCGAACGTGCAAAGTCGTTTGCGGCTTGCTTCAGGCTCGGCCCCCCCCCCCGTCCACGCAAGTAAACTTGCCGGAGCCTGAGATCGGGGGCGGCAAAGAGGGGGGTGTCCAAGAGGGGGGGGTGCAAATCATGACCGGCGGCATGTGCGCGGCCCAGCGGGGGGGCCAGGGACGTAATGAAACAAGAAGAGGCGCCATGAAATCTGGGAAATATCATGGACCCCGCCATGATATCCACCCCCCCCTAATCATCACCCCCCTCTTTTCCGTCCCCGATAAGAAAAACAGGCTCCCGGACCGCACGGTGCGCTCGGCGGGGCCCCCTCACGCCGGCCCGTGGCCGGGCGGGGGAGGCGGGGGAAGGTCTTCTGGCGGCGGCTTCGCCGGGGGGGCCCGCGGCAGGCCGGCGCAGCCCTGCAAGTAGGCGGCAGCGTGCAAACACCGTGTCGTCAGGAGGAGGAGGAGGAGGAGGAGGAGGAGGAGGAGGAGGAGGAGGAGGAGGAGGAGGAGGAGGAGGAGAGAGCATCCCCGTCGCCGTCCAGCCCGCCTCCGCTCCACGGGCGCAGATGGCTTCTCTCTCATCATAAACTTCCAGCTGCCCCGAGAAGCATCGAATGTCCACTTGAAACAGGATGTCCGCCCCTCGAAGAGTCCTGCGAGAAGGTACTCAACACTTGCTTCAAAACTGTGGGACCCTGGGTATCAGCGGGTCCACACGCTATGACCTGTCCACCTGGTGTCATCGACCATGCTGTGACGGCACTGGGGTGGAAGCCTGTTAAAAACTTTGGGAACCTGCAGATACATGAGAGCGACGAAAATAACGGGTGCTACGCCAAGATTAATTAGCGACCTTACGCGGTGGCTTGCGCGGGCCGCCGGCGCGGCGCACTACTTTGGAAACGAGGGGACTCACGCGCGACCTGACGCGGGCAACTTACGCGCGAATGTCCGGGCAATGGAACCCGTTATTCTCCGTCGCTCAGGTGCCATCGACCGAAATTCTGCGTGCTCCACAACTTCGGAAACCCATCTTTGAAAAGAGTGCATCAGGAGGTCGCTCCCCTCTCCCGAGGCATCATCGCAGGACCCAGCGAGTTCACCAGGCAGGCGACCGTTATGAGCGCTCCTCCTGCAATCGCGTTGGCACCAAGCTGCTCGTCCAGGAGGTACACTGCGAATACTGCAGCCCAGATGGGCTCCGTGCAGAGGAGCACAGTGGCATCGGATGAGCTGATCTTTCCCAGGGAGGTGGTCTCCCCAAGCCGGTTGAGCGCGGTGGTCACCAGACCCGTCCATGCCACTGCAGCCAGAGCAGCAGGAGAGACACCCTCAGGCAGGAAGCCCCCGATGCCAGGGCTGCGAAGACTATCCATGAAGCACCCTTGCCCCTCCTCCTCCTCCTCCTCCTCCTCCTCCCTCCTCCTCCTCCTCCTCCTCCTCCTCTTCCCCCTCCCCTCCTCCTCCTCCTCCTCCTCCTCCTCCGCCTCCTCCTCCTCCTCCTCCTCCTCCTCCTCCTCCTCCTCCTCCTCCGCCTCGCGCTGCGGGCGTCCGAGGAGCGGGCCGTCCCCGCGGGGGGGGGGAGGGGGCCGCGCCCCCCGAGCTCCCCCCGCCGGGGGCCTCGACTGCTCCACGCCCCTGCCAAAAGGCCCCGCCTGGGGCCGCCGTGCGCGCCCGGCGCGCGCGCGGCGCCGGCGCGGTTCTCTCCCTGGGCCCTTCGGGGTAAAAGAGGTCCCCTGAGCTGAAGTCGGGCCTGTCCCTCTACAGGGGGGGCAGATTCGGAGATCGTCAACAAGATAGTCAGGGGGCCATTTTTTGTGAGCCATGTCTGACCATCTTGGAGCATGTTTTTTGCACATGTGCATTCGTCGTCGAAAAGCGCCCTGCAGGGGGACAGGTCCGACTCAATCCGAACCCTTTGGGAGGGGACCTACGTTATGAGGGCCAACAGCATTAGGGATAAGGGGTCCTTTTCTGCAGGTGTATCAGACCAAACCGCCCAGAAGCATTGTATCCCTAACGCGAAGGCGGGGACCTCAGTGCGACCACGTCCTCATCGTGTTACCATAATTCAAGGTTCTTTTGTGCTCGATGACCTTCGGCCCCACACCGCAGGAGAAAGTACCTTCTCCTCCTCCTCCTCCTCCTCCTCCGCCTCCTCCTCCGCCTCCTCCACACTCCGCCTCCCTCGGGCATGGGACGAGGGAAAGATGAGCAAGGGCCAGTATGAGGAGGAGGAGGAGGAGGAGGAGGAGGAGGAGGAGGAGGAGGAGGAAGAGTAGGAGGGAGCGCTCCGCCGGACAGCCTTCCCGGCCCCGTGGATGAGCTCGCCAAGCGGGCCGAGCTCCAACGAGACGGCCCCCGCGCTGGCCGCGGCGGCGCCCTGGGGGGAAGGGGCGAGGACGCTGTCGAGGCTGCCGCCGTCCAGGACGAACCACGCCAGCGAGGCCAGCGCCGCCACGGTCACCTGTACCGCGGTGATGGGCAGAGTCTGGTCCGGGTTCCTGGACCAGAGTTTAACCGATCCCCGTCCCCGCTGGCGTGGCCTGAGCCCCACTGGCCGATCTACCCAGGTGGGGATATAGTTAGGCTGTTCCCTTCGGGCTTCGAGGGGCAGATCCCCTGTAGGGGCGGAGGGATGGTGGGGCTGAGGTACCATGGCCTGGTGGGGATGGGGATCGGCTAAATGATACGGGTTCCTGGCCATCATCTTCTCCGTGCGCCAGAACGCCGTGCCGAAGCCAACGCACTGCAGTAGCGCCCAAGCGTCGCCCCAGGAAGGTGAGACGCCGCCGTCGGGCCCGATTTCCAGCAGGAAGACCCCGACGATCGCCAGGGCAGCCGCGATCCACGTGCTCGTGCCCACCTGGGAGAAGAAACGTCTGCACAGAAATGCACACAGTGTTGAGTCTGGGCAGGACCCCCCCCCTCACTGGCGCGTGGAGCGCGCCAGGGGCGGCGCTGGAGGCGCTGGCAGGGGTGCCCGGCGCAGATCCAGGGAGGACGAACATGCACCGATACCGCCACTCTACTAACCCCTCCGCGGGCGCGATCTGACACCAGAATCTCGAGGAGAATCCAGCCGTTGCGACGAGGGCCCTCCAGATCGCGCAGCGGTACCGGTATCTACTTCTCCTCCCTGAGACCTGACGACGCAAGAAACACGCAACGTCGCGAAACAAAAACGCGACCAGAGCTATAGACCCCATCTTTCTGCGGCATTCTTCAAGCTGGAGCGATCTCTGATGGTCTCGGGGCTCGAAGCTGGGCGAACACGCCCGTTATGAAAAAATGTAGCACCCAGATCTCCGGGCTCTGGGATCCAGACAATCCGCGAGGACCTACGAGGGCTCATTGTGCTCGCGCGGATCTTTCCTCCTCGGCCACCGGCTTCCTGTCGACGACGAACTCCAGCAACGGGCACCACACGACCGCCAGCGCGCAGATGAAGCCCACGGTGGCGGCGGGCTCCGTCTCCAAGGCGATGGCCTGCCCGATGTAGCCCATGGCCACGAAGACGCCGCACTCCACGGCGGGACGAGCCACCGACGGCTTCAGCTGCGCCAGGCACGGGGACAGGGCCAGCGCGGCGATGCCGAAGCGCAGCAGGGCCGCCTCCGAGGCGGGGAAGGCCGCGTTCATCACCTTGCAAGCTTCTTCTTTTTCGGCGTGTCGACATGGGGCGGAGGGGGGGGAGGGGGGGGGGGTCCGGCTCCGGACCTCTGCTACTTGCGACTGTTTGCAACAGTGCGTCCCACGGGGAAAAGACTCCACCTGCTCGACACAGGCGCCAGAGACGGCCAAGATCTACTACACAAGGGGGGGGAGGGGGGGTGCGAAGGCCCGCGCCGATCGGCAAGACAGTGGACAAGAAAACAGTCACCTTCCCCAGGGGGAAGTTCGTGCCGTACAGCAGGGAGCACCCCAGCAGCAGGGCGCGGGGCCAGACATCCGCCGCCGCGCCGATTGTCGCCGCGGCTGGCTGGCTGGCGGGTGTGCGAGTGAGAGTGCGAGTGCGAGTGCGAGTGCTTGTGCGTGTGCGTGTGCGTGCAGATGTGTGCGTGTGTGTGTATGTGTGCGCGTGCGCGTGCGTGTGTGCGTGTGTGCGTGTGTGCGTGTGTGCGTGTGTGCGTGTGTGCGTGTGTGCGTGTGTGCGTGTGTGCGTGCGTGCGTGCGTGAGTGTGTGCGTGTGTGTGTGTGTGTGTGTGTGTGTGTGTGTGTGTGTGTGTGTGCGTATGTGTTTGTTTGATTGTTTGGTTGTTTCTTCCTTTCTGTGTCTGTGACTGTGTCTGTGTCTGTGTCTGTGTGTGTTTGTGTGTCTGTGTGTGAGTGTTGGGGAGTACCTGCGTGTATGTGCGCATGTGCGCGTGTGTGTGTGTATGTGTGTGCGCGTGTGTGTGTGTGTGTGTGTGTGTGTGTGTCTGTGTGTGTCTGTGTCTGTGCGTGTCTGTGTGCCTGTGTGTCTTGTGTGTCTGTGTGTCTGTGTGTCTGTGTGCGTGTGCGTGTGCATGTGCGTGCTCGTGTGCGTGACGCATGATGGGCCCCCTGCCCTCTCGACCCTGTCCTGGGGACAGGCCAGGGCCGCCCGTCCTCAGAGACGACCCCGCCTCTGCTACTCCGACGCGCCGGCTCGAGGCGCGAACCCCCCTCCCGCGGCGGCGCGGACGCCCCAGGCCCCGACGCCCTCGCGTCGTGAGAAATCACGGCGGGCGGCTTCTCTCGCGGTGTTCGGCCCCCGGGGGCCCCTGGGACCAGCCGTCCACAGCAAGGACTCGGGAGGAGAGCCGGCGTCTCGGGGCGACTCCGACGGGGTGTGGCTCGCAAAGGGTGCGACCTGCGACCGGCATCCCCCGAAGGGCACGCCGGGGGGGCGGGCGACGACCTCGATCCAGAGCTCTCCGCCGCGCCCCGAGGAGGCCCGACGCGGACAGCGTCGTGCCCCCTCAGGGCCCCGACGGTGCCGATCGCAAGCCACACCCTGGCGTGACCATATACCCTCTGTATATAGTCGCCGAGCCTCGGGGAGGGGGTCGAGGCTTCCGGGGACCGCGTGCTGGGAAGAGGCAGCGGCAGCGAGACCGGATAGTCAAAGGTCGACTCCTCCTCCTTCGGCGCCGACTCCGGGTCCAGCCCGGCCAGGTACTCGTCCGACATGGTGCAGGCCACTGCCTGGCCGCTCACGACGCAGGTGACGCCTGGCGGCAAGTTCTGCAGGTCCACGTCAAGGCCCGCCTGAGCGGCAGCAGGAGCAACAAGGGGGCCTCACGGCACACGAGGACAGAGCGACTCTGCGCGCGAATGGCCTGCACTGGAGGACGGCCATATCTCGGCGACTCCGACGAAGGTGTGGTTTCCAAAAGGTGCGGCCTGCAACCGGCACCCTGGGCGAAACCCTGGGGGGCGGGAAGGGAACCTCGATTGAATTCTCCGCCGCGCCCCGAGGAGGCCCGAAGAGGACAGCGTCGTGCCCCCCAGGCCCCCACGGCGCCGATCGCAAACCACGCACTGGCGCAGCCACACCCCGAGACCCCGAGGTCATGATCTTTTCTCAACGTCGGCCCTCAGAGGTCTCGACCCATTCCCCTGGACCAGTTCTTCATCCCGAGTCGTTTTTTCCCAACCATCCTGTGGTGTTGGGTCCTCGTTTTGAAGAGACAGCGCCCCGCGTCCCACCTCCTCTCCTCCTCCTCCCCCTCCTCCCTCCTCCCATCATCATCATCATCATCATCATCATCATCATCATCATCATCATCATCATCATCATCATCATCATCATCATCATCATCATCATCATCATCATCATCATCATCATCATCATCATCATCATCATCATCATCATCATCATCAGCATCGTCATCATCATCTCATCATCATCATCATCATCATCATCATCATCATCATCATCATCATCATCATCATCATCATCATCATCATCATCATCATCGTCATTGTCATCGTCGTCATCGTCATCGTCCGCACCCATTTCGGCACACCCCTCACACGTTTCGTGGCCCCATAGGGAGCTCCACCGAAGGCCCCATGGCTGCCGTCCGCATGCGTCCCGCACACCCATTTCGGCACACCCCTCACACGTTTCGTGGCCCCACAGGGAGCTCCACCGAAGGCCCCAGTGCTGCCGTCCGCATGCGTCCCGCACACCCATTTCGGCACACCCCTCACACGTTTCGTGGCCCCATAGGGAGCTCCACCGAAGGCCCCATGGCTGCCGTCCGCATGCGTCCCGCACACCCATTTCGGCACACCCCTCACACGTTTCGTGGCCCCACAGGGAGCTCCACCGAAGGCCCCAGTGCTGCCGTCCGCATGCGTCCCGCACACCCATTTCGGCACACCCCTCACACGTTTCGTGGCCCCATAGGGAGCTCCACCGAATGCGGCACACCCATCGGGCTGCCGTCCGCATGCGCCCCGCACACCCATTTCGCACACACCCTCACACGTTTCGTGGCCCCACAGGGAGCTCCACCGAAGGCCCCAGTGCTGCCGTCCGCATGCGTCCCGCACACCCATTTCGGCACACCCCTCACACGTTTCGTGGCCCCACAGGGAGCTCCACCGAAGGCCCCATGGCTGCCGTCCGCATGCGTCCCGCACACCCATTTCGGCACACCCCTCACACGTTTCGTGGCCCCATAGGGAGCTCCACCGAAGGCCCCATGGCTGCCGTCCGCATGCGTCCCGCACACCCATTTCGGCACACCCCTCACACGTTTCGTGGCCCCACAGGGAGCTCCACCGAAGGCCCCAGTGCTGCCGTCCGCATGCGTCCCGCACACCCATTTCGGCACACCCCTCACACGTTTCGTGGCCCCACAGGGAGCTCCACCGAAGGCCCCATGGCTGCCGTCCGCATGCGTCCCGCACACCCATTTCGGCACACCCCTCACACTTTCGTGGCCCCACAGGGAGCTCCACCGAAGGCCCCAGTGCTGCCGTCCCGCATGCGTCCCGCACACCCATTTCGGCACACCCCTCACACGTTTCGTGGCCCCACAGGGAGCTCCACCGAAGGCCCCATGGCTGCCGTCCGCATGCGTCCCGCACACCCATTTCGGCACACCCCTCACACGTTTCGTGGCCCCACAGGGAGCTCCACCGAAGGCCCCAGTGCTGCCGTCCGCATGCGTCCCGCACACCCATTTCGGCACACCCCTCACACGTTTCGTGGCCCCACAGGGAGCTGGCCCCAGTGCTGCCGTCCGCATGCGGAGCACACCCCTCACACTCCACCGAAGGCCCCATGGCTGCCGTCCGCATGCGTCCCGCACACCCATTTCGGCACACCCCTCACACGTTTCGTGGCCCCACAGGGAGCTCCACCGAAGGCCCATGGCTGCCGTCCGCATGCGTCCCGCACACCCATTTCGGCACACCCCTCACACGTTTCGTGGCCCCACAGGGAGCTCCACCGAAGGCCCCAGGCTGCCGTCCGCATGCGTCCCGCACACCAGGTGTGTGGCGTGCCGACATGGGCGTCGCGGCGCGCGGGCGCTGCCGTCGGGGTTCCCAGGGAAGCCCCCTGCAGAGGCGACGCTCAGAGTCACGAGTACCGAGAGTCACGCAGACCCAAACTGTTCACAGTCGTATACATACATTTACACTGGGCGTATCCATGCACGCATTCATGCGAATAGAATCAATCGCGCGCAGATTCATTCATAATCAGACTCGCTCGCGATCCGACTCGCACGCGCTCAAGCTTTCATATTCGGACCTATCGTCTTCGTTCGTGTTGTGTACACTGCCACGCATTTCGGCACACCCCTCATACGGCTCGTAGCCCCATAGGGAGCGCCACCGAAGAAGATATTCACAATTGCGGTACTCTCAACTGCATATGGTTGGGTCCTTCGCCAGGCTAATTGACGACCCCGAGGGCCAGCAAGGGTGTCCAGAGACCGAAAGCATGGACAAAAACCTCCCCTCATGTTCTTGTTCACCCTCTCGCCCTGCAGATCCCCCCCAGGGAGCCGCAGAGTTCGGAATGATAGGACTTCCAGCGCGCTGCTTTCCTCAAGCTGGACCGCGGGGAAGCACCATGGAACGCCCGCGCGTCGTGATTGCCCGAGGGGGCCCAGGCCCTGTGCAGCCGCCGACAGCCGAGACCACCGCGGCTCCCCCGCCCGACCGGGCCCCGCTCCACATGAGGCCCGGTCCCCGGGCAGCTATCTGGTCGTTGGGCGACGTGGCGCCGCCCCGGGCGCCCCGTCGCCCAACGGCCGGGGACGACGGTGCCCTCCGAGCCCGCGGAAAAAACCGCCAACGCGACGGACCGCACTTCTAGGCCTCCCGGATGGGGTCTGAACAGATGGGGCCGGAGGATCACGCGCACCGCCGACGCATCGCGTCGGCGAAGTCGGCGATGCATCGGCGACGCCGGCGTGGAGAACACCGCTTTGAACCTTGAGTTGCACTGTTGACGTGTCGGTGATGTGGCGTGATCCTCCGACCCGATCTACTCCGACCCCATCTGGGAGGCGTAGAGCAAAGGAAGGACTGAGATCACACGCGGCCTTGCCCAGGCAGTTCACACGCGAGTGGCCGCGCATTCGTTCGTCCATTCCCGAGATCTGCCACCATCGAGGGAGGCCTTTTCGAGGTTTGGCGTCTCAGTTTAGCCCCCC